GGTTAGGAAAAGGTAACAGAAGCACTGTCTGAACCACTAACTAGAACCTTCGACAAGCAAAAGATACGAGACAACTGCCAACAATCTAGAAGACAGTAAATATTGTTGTAATATTGAAGAAAGAAGACAAACAGGAAGCTATAAACTACAGACCAGTATCCCTAACATACATGCTATGTAAAGTAATGGAGAAGATAATTAGGAGATTGGTGGAATGCTTAGAGAGAAGTGGTTTAATAATTTATAACCAGCAAGGATTTAGAGATGGCAAATCCTGATTGGCGCAGATAAGTCAGTACTCTCTCTCTCTCTCTCTCTCTCTCTCTCTCTCTCTCTCTCTCCTCTCTCTCTCTCTCTCTCTCTCTCTCTCTCTCTCTTTCTCTCTCCCTCTCTCCGTGCAGTACTTACAGTATATATCGAGAGTCCAGTCATCGGAGAGTGTGAGTGAGGGAAGTGCTGGGGAGAAAGCCAGACACGAGAGCACCTTCTTGTCGTCCTCCTGACGAGGAACCCAGCGAAGCTCACTCCACGTTACGTTGTCGTCATCGCTGCTCTGTCGTGAAGATAAACCATCGTTACTAGTAAACTACTCCCCGTAGTTTCTACTACCACCACTGCTACTACTTCTACTGCTACTAATACTATTACTACTAATACTACTACCACTACTTTTTTCTTCCTCTCTTGGTCCCGTCCCTGTCCTCCTCGCCTATATATACTGGCTCCCTCACTCTTTTGTGTTAGTTTGACTTTGAAAATGATCCAAGTCGGACCGAAACGTCGTCGTAAGCTCCTTGTCTCTTATGTGCGAGTTACTGTGCATCGTCACAATTCACTACCATTACCTCCACAATCACCACCACCACCCATAGCATCACCACCTGCACCACTCTCACCAGCTACCCCTCACCTCCTATTTTCACCATCACCCCCCACTATCATTTTCCCAGTCACTATTACCATCACCAAATTACATCACTACTATCACCAATATCACCGCCTCTTCAGTTACAGGTAAATATTATATACTTCTCTTTCCCCTCCACTGTATTTTCTCCACGTGAGTTCGTTTGTTAAATTGGCCAATGTCTGTTACACTTTTATGTTTGAGAAACTATATATATGTTGACCATTTGTTAAATGTTTGTTAATCAATACGTAATCCATGTTAAATGTTTGTTAATCAATACGTAATCCATGTTAAATGTTTGTTAATCAATACGTAATCCATGTTAAATGTTTGTTAATCAATACGTAATCCATGTTGATCATGTCTGTCTTCTCCACAAAGCTCAAAAATCAATGAAACATATTTTTTCGTTGAAAAATAAGACACATGTTCAACATCTTTAATACGTAACAAAGTTTACTAAATATTACACAAGTGTCTCACTCTTCAACTTGTGGATTTGTTTGCTAAACTATTAACATCACATTTATTTTCGTGTCCCGGGTTTTTCAACATCTGATACATTTCTTAGGTTGTTTACGGTTTGTTGTGTTGGGAATTTTAATCAGTCTAAAAAAAAAACTCTTGGCCATGCTTAGACTTTTACCACTAACAGCCATGTGTCTATTTTCTCACCGACAGTCATCGTACTCGTGGATGTCTTTTACGACACACAAAAACTGATTGATGTAAAATTTGGTAGACAAGATGCATTACCTCCGGAATAACATGCAATAAATATTGCATATTATAATGTGCTGTTTAATTTTTCAATACCTCAGAAAACCAGCAGAGGTTTAGGGGTCAAATAAGATCAGAAGTTCAACACAACGTGTCATATACACGACCTAAAACTAGTATCGGTAGAATTTTTTCAATTACCTGATAAATAATATATCCACAGCAAGGCCCACAACTTAATAGCTTTGTTTGCCAATATGTCAAGCTTGGGTGATAGCTGGGACATCCTGCCAAGACACTCGCCTCCAATAAAACAGTCTGGTATGTATATGTATATCAGGTTGGGTGGACCAGAGAAGTAAACAGTAGCAAACCCAAGACAGTGTCTTGGGCTTGTTACTTGTTACTGTTTTCAGTAGCCAGGAGAGTGTCTTGGCTACTGTTTTTAGCAGCCAACCCAGTGTCTTGGACTTGCTACTGTTTTCAGTATCCCAGGACAGTGCCTTGGACTTGCTACTGTTTGCATCCCAGGACAGTGCCTTGGACTTGCTGCTGTTTTCATTATCCAAGGACAGTGTCTTGGACTCGAGAACAAGCGGCAACCATCGGGAAACTAGTGTTTCTATAGCAAAGAACTCTGTTGAAGAAGTTATGTCTTTTTCTGTGAATTCCTAAATCAGACGAGACCCTGCAGAGTGCATCACCAAAAACAGTGTTGAGGCTACTGTACCGGAGACTTCGTGGAGGCTACCATTATCCTAGTGAAGGGCTCTTCAGCTGAAGATTTAGAGGACCCATACCTTCCTTGAATCACACCTCCCATCATTTCCCAGATGCTGTACATACATACATACATACATAAGGCTTCAA